GTTTAGCTAACTTATGAAAGAAAAGAAAGAAAATAATAATAGTAATTGTGTTTGAGGAAATAAAAGAAATGAAACTGTATCCCTCAAAATCTTTTCATTCCTTTTTTTTTTTTTTTTTTTTTCCTTTCAAACTTTTATATTAAAAACATAAAAAAAATAATAATAATAATAATAAATTATATCCCTCTAATTCTTTTCTTTCCTTTTCTTTCTAACCAAACTAAACTGGGCCTAAATATGAGAGAGCAAAAACTATCAAGTATTTCAGTTTCAATAATTAGAGACTTGAAGGTTACAAAGAAAAAAGAAAACATTTTCACTTTACATTTTACTCCCAAATTAATTTCCTATAAAAAGAGTGTTAATGTCACTTTAATTCTTTAATTTCACTAATTCAAGTTAATATTTTCCGACAAAGTTTTAAATTTGTTGTTTTCTCACTTTTTTTTCTTTTCTTTTTATCATGTGTGTGTGATTATTGCTTCTAGACAAAACAGTTTATTATTTCAATCAAAAGTAGCAAGTAAAGTTATTGAGAAGTAGGTTTCAAATTCGTGCAATATGGTAGGAGCGATTGACATCAAGCTTCTAAATCAGATAATAAAACTATACAAAAGGGAAGTTGTAGGTTCGGATATTTTTGCGAGTAATGAGTATATATATGTATATGTGTGTGTTTACTTTAACTTTTGAATATATATATATATATATATATTAATAAAATTAAAATTTTGAAAACATGGAGAAAATTAGCTTGATGTGAGGTGAAAAAGAAAAAAAAAAAAAAAACCTAGAATGTCACGTGACATGATGGAGGTTCAAGCATAGCAAAAGTTGCAATGGTGGAGGAATCAAAGAGGGGTTTTGAGCGTCGGCGCACGTGCCACACATGTGATATAGATTCACACACTCTATCTCACATTCAAGCTCGTGGTTGAGTGAGCAACCAGTTGATTGTGTGTCTTATCAATCATCGTCAACCAATTGATAATAACAAGCCCAATCTAGTGTGATTACGACCTCACACTCATTCATCCGTCCTTTTCACGTGAATGGTTTTATCAAACAAAAATAATGAATCTTGTGAGTCTCATTTTAATAAATAAATAAAATTTAATTTTAAATGTTCCAAGAGAAAATAGAATTTAATTAGTTGATAATAAGTCTTAAGCTTGATCAAATCATCACGACTTCACATTTATTCGTGGGTCCCTTTGCACATAATTGATTTTCGATAGAGCAATGTCTTGGATTTTATAGGTCCAACTAAATAAATAAATAAATCTTGATATCGAGTGTGAAAAGAAAAATTATAACTTAATTAAATAATGAGAACATTTAAGCTCGATCAAATGTTCACAAGTTCACACTCATTCACTTATCTCTTTACACATGATTGGTTTTATCAAAAGAAAAAAAAAAAAAAATGATAGCAGTTATCTGTAATTTCGACGGCACATCGTTAGTCATTAGATCTTGTAAGTTCTTTTAAACATGAAATAAATTATAAAAATAAGAATATCTAATGACGGTTAAAATTCACTTCCATTAACTTTTAGGTTGTCTGTTTTGACTCCATTGACATGTTTGTTGGTCCCAAAAATTGTGAGTTTGAAAATAAACAGAACTAATATCTCCTCTAAATTCAAAAAAAATTTCTACTTGAACCTTTTTAGTTTTATATTTGAAATTCATATCTTATAAGAGATAATATGTTAATTCAGCAATTTTGTTTAAATTTGTTATTATGATAGTCCTTATTACGGAATATGTTAATTCATTTAAAATGATTAATAATTTTCAAAGCACTCCGCCGGCGTGAGCGATATATATATATATATATATATATATATATATAGATAGAGAGAGCGCTTGAACCCAGCACTATAATTGACAGGGTATAGGTCCGCCTGACAGAATCAATAATTGGAACTTGTTGGAAAACAACCAGTCACTTCAATTAATCTTCACCTTCAAAAGTGTTGCTACCTGCAACAACTTCACTTCAGATGACTATGAAATCTTGACCGTCTAATTATACCTACCTTTCCTCTCCAGTCTCATCATCAAAGTGTATTTTAGTATTACCTTCAACTTTTGAATCACTACATTTTTCTTTAATTATTTTGATGGTGTGTTGATTGTATTAAATTAAAGTCTTAAAATAAAAATTAATAAAAAATAAAAAATAATTGATTCAAAATTTTTAATTATTTTTTTCAAATTTTACGTATATTAATTTCAAAACTTCAATTCCATATAACCGAACACAACCTAAATTAATTTTAAAAAAAATCTTGTGAACGTCTGAAAATGGAAAAGATTTGATAACTTAGTATTTTATTTAGTCACTTGATTGAACTTAATGGCGTCGGCTTTTTGTGTCTTTTTGTCATTTATAATTTGATTGCTGAGACTACTGAGCCAAATAACGCCATGGACACCATGGACAATAATTATTAAGCAATTGAAACTAACAAATAATCTCTCTCTTTTGTTTGTCTAAAGTTAGGCACAAAACCGAATTAAATGTTGTTTAATTTGACCCGGAAGTACAACGTTACTTTTTAAATCACTGATAACTAATCCTTCATTAGGTGAGTTGAAACAATGTTAGAAGAAGATACACGCATTTGATCGATTATAAAGGGCACATCAAGGTTAGTTTCTAGATTTGTGTAAAGCAACAATAATTCAAAGGGTAAATTACACTTAATTTTCTTTTAGGATCATTATGATTAAACCAAATTTTCCTTCTAAATATTCAATTGTTCATAATAACAATCATTTACTACATTAATTAATTCGATATCAGATAAAAATACATCTATTTTCACATAAGAGCACTCAAATAGAGCCTTCAATTTAGAAAGAGAATACATCCCAATTTCAAATTCAAGACATCCCAATTATACCAATATAGCAATAGCTATATTCAAGAGCGCATCAGGAACATTCTTACATTCTTCTCTTACCTTGTGTTGCTAAGTCAAGCCCATTACGAATATTACAAGTAGTTAAATGAGAAGGCCAACCTAACCTAAGTCGGGAGCGCTCTTGCTCCTATTGTTACTTTATTCTTAAATTCGTTCCTACTTTATGCCAACCCCTATCCACAGAACCATAGAATTGCAAATCCTAAGAGCAGGTCCAATGATGAGTGATCCCACAATTTTGGACCAATTTTGAAGACTGGACTGCTCCAATGGACTCTTCAAAAAGTGAACCCCACAAAGACAATCTTGATTCAAGTCGCCAAAAACCAAAATTGGTTTGGCGAATTGCGGGCTTGACATGCGGGCCTGCATCAATTTTCTTTTTCTTTTTTAATTCTGGTCCAAATAGTGTTTTAGCCCAGAACACTGTTTGGTAAGACCTGTTTGGTTGGAAAAAAAAAGGAAAAAATTAGCATTTTGGCTGATTTTGGTTTGTTTTATTTTTTTTCTTTTTCTTTTTTTTTTTTTCTCAAAATAATTGAACCAAAGAGCCGTTAAGGCACTGTTTGGCTGACACAAACAGTGCCTTAAAGGTTTTTTTGGACCAAAAAAAAGTTAAAAAAAAATAGATAAAAGTGTTTTTTTTAAAAAAAATTTGTTTTTTAAAATATTCCTACTGACATATAGCCGTTTTAGGCACTGTTTAGCTAACCCAAACAATGCATTAACGACTATATTGGCACAAAAACTTATTTTTTGAATTTTTTTTTTAAAAAATAATTATATACATATTTATTTATTGAAGAAAAAAAAAAAAAAAAAAACGAAACCTTTCATTGTTTATTTCGAATGATATTAGAAACCTTTCATTATTTAGTTCAAATATTATTTTTTTATTAAAAAAAAATATATATGTCTTTGTTTTCTGACCAAGAAGATGATGAATTACAACTTGATAAAAGAAAAAATCCTGATGAGGAAACCATTAGAATTTTGAGATTGAAAGATATATGAATTGATATTTTGCTAAAATAAGTTAAGATGAATGTAATAATAATGGAATGAACAAATGATTGTTTATATAACATGAAAAATATAACCGTTATAAATATAGCCGTTAAAAATATATCCGTTATAAAAAAGTTAAAAAATAAATTTTATTTTAAATTTTAAAAATATTAATATTTTTGGAGAGCAAAAATGCACCATTGGAATATATTCGATAACTAAAATTTGAAAATTCTAAAACACTGACGTGATTATGAAAAATGCTGACGTAGCTATGAGAAAATGATGATGTGACAAATTCAGAGAGTCTGAATTCAGAGATGCCCTAACCTACAAAAGATTGTTTTTTTTTTTTTTTTTCTTAGTTGGAACTCACACACGCGGCCTCCACTGAGGTTCGAACCCCTGACCTCCCTTTAAAAAGTAGGAGCCTTGTACCAATGGACCACAAGCCTGTTGGTCCCACAAAAGATTGTTGATACCGAGTTGACGCAAAAGTGGAAAACACGTGCTATGGCAGGTGCCCAAGCTCAAGAGGACTATTGCAATCACAACCAATAGTTTAAGTTTTATGGTGTATTTGCAACGAATCAAGCATTCTCATTCACCAGCTCTCATAAACACAAAATATGATGATCTAATGCCTGCTTACATAATTCATTCTTGACTTCTGCATATGATATTATATAAACTTTTTAAATTACCAACTTCACTTTAAAACGACTATCCTAATTGGATACAAATTGTTATATTCAATGCATCTAATTGTTGCTTCAACCCCATCTAGAAGGCCAACAACTGAATCAATGCACTGAAACACAACCAAATTTCAGCCCCTAGTTTCTCCATTTATAAATTTGTTAAGCTACAAAAAGAAAATGACATATATATATATATATATATATATATATATCCAACACATTACTTCCTTAAATTATAAGAAAATGCAGAAGTATACTAAGACCAAACAAGCCAAGGTCCATGAGTTTGGTTCCTCTCCTGTAAACTCTCCGTTATACTAAGGTAGAGGCTTCATCGTGCCGTGACAGCATCAGGAAAAATCAAGCACCATCAACTAGTACTAAAACAGTTACCAAAATGTACAGAAAAACAAACAAAAACATCCTTACCAAAAAAAAAAAATCGAAAACATTCTGCACCATTCACAGATGTAACTGTAAACTGAAACTGAAAAGCTAAAAGTAACCCAATCTGGATTATTTTAGCATATACTGAACTGCTAAGTAAGACCCATCCGACAACACCTCCCAATAATTTTACAACGCTGATATGGTGAGATATAAAGGTACAGGAGAGGAGCCAAACTCAAGCTCAATTCATGCTGCGAGGCATGGGCTCACAACTTTTGTCAACTGTATATTCCATGTCACTATCAGCTCAATTGGATGGTCATATTTTTCAAGTTTGAACAAACCAATAGATGGTCTGCAACTGTGCTTCTCCACACTCAGTTTTCCAATATCAAATACTTACCAATTAACTAAAGCTTGTTCCTTCATTATTCCAACCTGCATTAAGAAAAAATTGGTTAGATACCAGTCCATTCACACTGAGGCTAGATGATGATAATTTGGGATTCTAGTGCGTCATAAAAGGGGACAAAAGAAGATACTGAAGCAACTTAAATACACAGTCTATTATTCTAGATACTACATCAATAAGCTAGTTAAATAAATAGTCGATCATTTTCCACAAAATTTTCTTTGGAGAACCATCAGAAATTTCAATCACACAACACAAAGGCAAAAGCCAGAAGGGCCAAACCTTATTGAGAAGCCCTTCGGTCGAAAAACTTACCGTCCTTTAGGTAGTAACAACTTCATGAGAAATGAATAGAATTGGTAGACGATGCATGCAGATCCAAAAATCAACGAAGATGATCAAAGAAAGCAACAAATGATAACCCTTAATACTCTATTGATGCATGACAATAGAAGCTAAACACTTCACAGAAATCTCCTTCAATCTAAACAGAACAGGATCTGCTTCAGAAATCTTTGGTTCTATCTCAATACAGACCATACGAGGCAAAGGGGAGCCATAATCCAAATAAGTCAATCTATGTCTTACTTCCAGAGCCCCCAACAAATTACCTTAGGAAAGTTCCATGAAGATGAGCATTACCACACAACCCGAAAGGAAAAAAGGAGCTGTCAAGAAATCACTCAGGATAACGTCCAGGGTGGTTTTTTTTTTGATTATTATTGAAATGTAGCCAAGTGTCCATTTCTTTTAAGAAAAACAAGGACACTTCCTTGTCAAGAATTGGTGTATTGCAAGTTCAATTTTCTCAAAACAAAGTGTTTTCCTGTATTAATAAAATGAGAAGATTTGTGGGTGCAAGCATCATCTACTGAAGTACAAGGACACCCCATGGGGAAGTGAGCATCACCTTCCCACTGCTTTCCTAACCCATAATGTAGCATCACCTAACCCATTGAATAATATTCTCCATAATGCATCTTCATATTATAATAAAAGCAGCATAATGTCAAGGGAAGAAAATTCCACTTACATGCATACCGAGCATGCAACCTCAGAGCCTATTAACAAATGGTATGTTTCATCTATAAAAATTAATGTGAACTACACCTAATGAAAGCAATGAAATAAGTATTTGACAGCTTTGGTTGCTTACCAACAAAGTCTAGGTGTTTATACACAATGAACATGGAGACCAAATGGATATGAGAACTTCTATCCACTAAAACCGCGTTTGCTGCAGCATTTGAGAAGCAGGTGATTGTGAAACCAGCTTCTCTGAACTTGGAGAAGGTCGTATCGGCTGGTTGGCACCAACTGGGTTGCCAAGCCCCTGCCTGGGCATCTCTTTAGCATTATTAATATTTCTTTCAGAATGTGATGGCTCCATCAATGCACGTACCTGATTCATAGTTTGTTCCAACAGGAAATTTTTAGTGGTCCATCAAAGAAGAAGACAGATAAAAGGCAACCTACAAACAATTCCAACTCACCATACTGAGACGCTTCTTGTGGAGATCACTTGATGACTGCATGTATTTTTCATTCAAAATCAGAATATCTAGTATTTTGGGATTTAATCAAAGAATATTTGTGTATCTAGTGCTCAAGTCAACCAGACAATTGTGATCACTCAAACAACAGTTGAAACAGAGGTCAAGTATAGTAATATCAAGAAAAGAGGTATGCACAGTCAAAATATATGAATTTTAAACAAGTGTAATATGAAAAAGGGGTTTGGATGATTTTAGATTTGTTTTACATTACCATAGTTTCTAATTTGCGTCATCAACTGTCCATTAGAAATTTGAGGAAAATCTTCATAAAAATCCATTCATCTTCTTCATTGTATTAACATTTCTTGTATATATTACTTTTAATTCAAATAAACACAAAGTGATTTCCATCCTGCATATAAGAAAGGGTAAATACTTACAATGTTCTGTTGATGTTTCTTCTCTTCGCTTGAGAACCCTGGGATAGTCAAACGCCAGTTTTTCTCTGCACATGATTTCCTTTTGTAAGATTAAGGCTCCATTTGTCTTAACTTCAAAACAAAATAGGAAAACAGGTGTATCGTGCCATTGGATGCAGAGCATATCACCAGAATGATAACGGTCCTAAAATACTACTCAACAGCCTTAACCCAACCACTGGGGGTTTCTACATGGACCCCTCCTCTCCAATCAACTCTTGGATTTCACTTACAATCCAAGAAAATCATGCTATAAGTCCAATAATGCTATATACTACAAAATGGTAGTTGAAGGAACTTAATCCTAGTAAATAACCAAAAATGGCGCGAAATTGTTACCCAGGATCAATGGAGTTCTATGATACTCTAGAGTACGAGTTCGGGTTCTAAGAAATTTGCATGTCGAATTGCATGAGATATATATATATATATATATATATATATATATATATATATATATATATATATATATATATAGAGAGAGAGAGAGAGAGAGAGAGAGATGCAACCAAAAAAGGAAGAAAAAAAAAAGGCAATTTGGGTGCTGATACAAACAAAGCAATGAAGATGGAAACAGAGCACTGGTAATCATGTTAAAGAGATAGCTCAAGGAATTATGACTTAAAATGGTTAATCTTTAAGGCCCCTCTTTTTCTTTTCTTTTTTTATTTTAAAGAGACAAGCAGCTATCCTGAAAAGTATCAAACTTGCAGACTAACTTGTCCATGACAGCCAATGGGGACCAGGTATGGACAGTTTTTTCTCACCTCTAGACACATGGTATGCAGGTACAAATTACGAAAATTCAGTGAAATCATTTGAGTAGTCTGCTAACTTAAAACATAAATAATAAATATAAATAAATAAATATAAATAAATAAATATATATATATAAGCTGAATTATGCCTGAATAGTAAAAAGAATCTTAAAAATTGTTGCAGTCAACAATATAACATTTATCGCTGCAACCAAAGAACAGATTCAGTGGATAACATAGATTGAATCATAACAAAACATGAAGACACAGCTAACTAAACCATGCAGATGAGGTACCCGCTTTGATTCCTTCATCATCTAACCACCAAGACTTTAGCTCAAGTCGTATCTTCCCTATCTTCTCTTCACACATGAGAGGTTGAAAGTTCATCCCATTGGGGAACTAGTGTGTGTGTGTGTGTGTGTGTGTGTTGTCTCTGTTTGCTTACCTTCCAAAAAAAGAAAAGAAAATGCATATACAATCTAATCTCTTCCTAAAATTCATCCAATTAGATCAACATGTTAAAATAGCGTACATATCAAGCGATTGATAGAATGTATAACAGTGGCACAGACCTAGGTGTAGCAGTACATCCTTGGACTCTAAAATCGAAGATTTCCGATGCTTTGCCAAACTGCAAGCAAATGTAGTTACCTGTAGAGACACAAGACAGGATGAGCAGTAACAAGAAAAACCACAATTACCTATGCTAAAACATATGATCATCCACCAAATATAAGGGATTTTGCAGATGGACTACAAAAACAAGTAACTAACTGCAAGACGACCAACTAGCAGAATACCATGTAGTAATACAATTTCAATGGTTCCGAGTAGAAAAGTTTCTTAAAGAACTCAATACAATTATTTAAAGATGTAGATGCAGTATCCATGGGCCTTACAAACCAGAAAACAAAAACTCCCCAACATTGTATGTAGAAATAAAAAATTAAAAATAAAAAGGAGGTGTGGGTCACTGTGATTATCCAATTGTGTGTACTTTTGAAGTTGATATCCTTGATTTGTGGACCAAATAAATTGTGACCTTTGGTCAGTGTTATGCTACATGCAGGGCAAGCATACTGGTATCCCATTGCTCATCTTACCAATAGTTAAAAAAGAAGGTAAGCATGCCTTTTGTGAACAACATAAAAGTAAGATATTTACCATCATTTTTTATCATAAGATATCACCAAAGTTGAGGGAGATAAAACACAGATTCCACAATGAATCATTTCAAAACTACTCCGAACAAAGTATCGCATAAAAAAATATGGGATAAATAACTTCAGATGAAATCACACAGAAAATGAAATTTTAGGTGGTGTTCTGATGTTCACAAGTATGCCTCTTGTGAACAACCTAAAAATAAGATATTTACCATCATTTTTTATCATAAGATATCACCAAAGTAGAGGGAGATAAAACACAGATTCCACAATGAATCAATTCAAAACTACTTCAAACAAAGTATCGCATAAAAAAATGTGGGCTAAATAACTTCAGACGAAATCACAAAGATAATGAAAATTGTGGTGGTGTTCTGATGATTAAAAAACATAATCAGGTGAAAAGCATCCCTACTCATCCTTTTGAAATGACATAACTAACCCTACTGAAACAACTAGTTTGCCCTCCTCCACTTTTTAAATTTCTTCCCCGTAACCTTCTCTTTCTCTCTCTAACAATTTCACCATCTCTCGGTTAATCTATGTTCCCTTCATCTCTTTATTCTTCTCCTCTCCTGAGCTATCACCTCCTTTGCTATCTCACTTCTCCAACCCCACCATACCACTACTCATCCATTGTGCCTTCACCCCATCAATGCTCCCCCCATTACCATTGCCCAGCCATGCTCTCTTCTCTTCCACCTCTGTTATCCCATCAGTAACAAGTCCAACCTCTCAAAACCATGACAAACACAGTTTCCTTCAATCCAACACCACTGTCCCAAGCCCTTAATTCATCTACATACCACCCTTAAGCAGTGAAAAACCACAACAATTTAGCAAATATAAACTCAAATTTTCAACTGCCAACACTGATCTGTGTGTATGGTTTCTCTCTCTACATATATACATACATATATACACAGGATTTTAGAATCCTATTTGGCTTTTTAGCTTCACCATATTCTTTGTAAGTCTTTCACATCTCAGTTGACTCTCCATTTGGAATTTAAGAACCCTAACCCACCACCAGACCCACAACAACCTCCACCATCTCACCATATGAGCTACAATTAGGTCGCTTCAATCACCTTTACCACTCCACCACCACTAGATATGGGTTTTTTCTGCATCGGGATCTCTTTTTGATAGGCATATATCATATATGTCACATAGAAAATATCACTTTTAACAGTGCCGGTTCAGTGAAAGATTTACAATAGGGTAGCAGGACCAATGTCTATCGTGTTGGAACAAACGATCTTAACACAAATCACCTCCTTTGTTTTAGAGAGAGAAAACACTGAGATGTTGTGACTTGGTGGTTGGGGTTCATTGTGATTATGGAATTGGAGGTCCGAGAGGTGATGGTGTAGTGGTGAATAATGCAGACGGCAGTCATGGAGGCAACAAGTTGAGGAGAGAAAGAGGTGAGGTTATACGAGGAAGAGTAAAGAGAGACGAGGAGAGAAAAATCAAGTCTTTTATTATATTGATATTTCTTTATTATTAAAATTTTATTAATACTATGTATTATAATAAAAGAGGGCAAATAGTAAATGAACATTAAAAGTTAACAACATTTCAACTGCTAACTCTGATAGGGGGTGTCAAAGATTATTCAAGCAGCAAACATATTAGTCTTAACACTACAGAAGTAAAAAAGATGGAAACTAAGCACCATTAACTGCACACATGCAGGTTCCCACACAGAGAAACATAGAGTGGCTACAATATGGCTGAAAAAGAGTGTTAGCAAGCCCTACCGAATCAATGAAGTCATCAGCAATTTCCAATAGAAGATCTTCAACTTCAGGATCCAACTTTCCTCGTGAATCCACCTGAGAACCCATAAGATGATCATAATGATTACCTTGGAATTATTTGATATGTCAAATAATAAAAAATTACTTAAACTATAGAATATTACCACAATTGCCAAATTGATTATCAAACTGCCAAGTAATCCAAATAATTCTAGATGATCATATTAAATAACAATAACAACAACAACACGCATTAAGTTTCCCAAACTCGTATAGATATTTCAAATTTTTCCAAGTGTTGGGATTATGTGCCCTTCAAGACAATGAATGGGATATAATTGACATTTATTATTGATGGAATTTGGGTCTTAATTAAATGTTGTACATATATGGTGCATGCCGTGTATTGGTCGGTCCATGAGATGGATCGAGGTTGTCCCTTTGACCATGCATGTGTTTTATATGTGTGTGATGGGTGTTCATGCATAGGGAATATAAATAACAGATTCAATGATAGAGGATGCACTCTCTATTTGAAAAGAATGGTGTTGGATCAACGATAAGTTGAGAAGATTGCGGGAGCTATCGCAACAATTGCTCCTTGTCAATGTCATAACAAATGACTGTCAAGCATGAGAGACGGCCGGGCTCATCTTGATTAGTGGTTGCTTAGATTTATTTGGTGGGCCCCAAGGCTTAAGACCCGGGTACTTTGGGTAGCTATTAATTATTAACATTGGAGCATACTATCAAGATTGCATCTATGCTATATATTTATTTTGACTTGATTAGTTTGATCACGGAAAAATCTGGGGACTCAGTGTTTTAATTAAATGGTTTTGTATATATTTATTTATTAAATATATTATTTTTTTCAAAGGAAATTTTATGTGATCAAACGGGAAATAATCCACGAGTTGAAATGAAGGATCAATATAGTAATTGGATTGATGACATCTATTTATCCGATGGCTAATTAAGAGTAGAGGGGCCATATTGTAAATTGACTTCATGGTTTAACCATTTATGTAATTAGAGTGCAACCATTCTTATATTGTGCAATTAAGTTTGGTTAATGGATTGATTTGAATTGGGTCATGAGATGACTGGGTCAATTAATTAGCCCATTGGAGCCAAGAAGAGAATGGGCCCAATAGATCCTCACTTCTAGCCCACGTTTGAATGTTAAGCAAGAGGGAGTGGAAAAAGAAAGTTAGGGACTAGAGGGTGCTATGAGCACTCTAGAAGGTTGTGAGGAGTGATATTACCACTCCCTTGGACTCCTATATATATGTGTTAAGAGTGCTCACTAACCTAGTGGTTGTCTTGCATGCTTTAGAAGACAAAGTCTCTACGCATATTTCTCTCTCTAGGTTTCTCTTATTTACTCTCTAAGGGTTCCCACCAAACATAACTTATGGAATTCAAGAAAGGGTAACCACAAACACACCCAACTGCCACTGAGACTTGAACTCTAGACCTCCCCTTTGGGAAGTAAGAGCCAGTACCGCTGAGCCACTTGGCCCTTTGGTCATAGAGGTGATTCTTGAAGATAAAGAACCAAGGAGGAAGAAGGAGAGGCTTGGAGGAGGAGGTTGGAGAAGATAGAGCTTGAAGGTTCTACCATCCACAAATGGGTCTTCAATGGAAGAAGGGATTCTACTACATCCCTTAAGATTTAGGATTATATATCTTGTTGTACGTCCCTCATCACATCCATATTAGTTTTTGAAAAGGCCATTGGTTCTACGTAACTCAAGGTTGCCATGCTTTCATTCTAAACCCATTTTTCCATCACCAAGAACTAGTCTTGATCTGTCCAATCAACTCCAAAAATTCAGATCATTCTGTAACTAAAATTCAAATCACAAATTTGTCACTAAAATATGCATATTATGGGAAAGAAAAATAGCAAAATAAAATTGCATGAAGGACCTGTGAAACCAAATCCTGTATCTTTCTCTTCCCAAGAAGTTGATTACTTGCTTCTGTTCCTTGGCTTGAACTACCCCCTGGTGTAGTTGTCCCAGATGCAGTAGCATCTGGTTGTGATCCTGTCAAGCTTAAAGATTTTTGGCCAGCAGCTACAGCCATCCTGGGAGACTGCTGCTGCTGCTGATGCAAAAGCTGTTGTTGTGGTGGCAGTGGTTGTTGTTGTTGTTGTGGCTGCTGCTGCTGCTGCTGCTGCTGCTGCTGCTGTTGCTGCTGCCCCATCGGCTGCTGCTGCTGTACCAGTTGGGATAATTGATGTGAGTTCAAGGCCATAGAATTTTGGTGCATCTGAGGAGATGAAGCTAGTTGTTGTTGCATAAGTGCTTGTTGCTGCCTCTGATGTTGAAGACGAGATAAAGGAGAATTAGGACCAGACATTGCTGGCATTTGATTCAACCACTGTTGCTGCAACAAAGCATTCTGCATCATAGCTGATTGTCCATTCTGAGCCAACCCAGGTAATCGAGGATTCATTAATGATGTCCTTGCTAAGCTTTGAGCCTGTAGTTTCTAAAGAAAAATAAAATGTTAAATATCAACTACATGAAAACAAATGTAAATACATATACAGAAAAACAAACATGATAATACTGCATGGCTATCTAAACTCACTCAAGAAATCAACTTTAACACCAAAAAAAGTAATAATAATAAAATAAAATAATAAAGAGATAAACCTTGCGAACAGCATCTTAAAGAAGTCCACAAAAGAATGGAAAATACACTCAACTTCACCACCAAAAGCTGTAGCCTAGTGGTACTTTCTGACCTTCCAAAGTAGAAGGTTGAGGGTACAAGTCCCCATAGGGGAAGTGGGGGTGTGAGTTTTTGCCAAGGTGAAAAAAAATATACTCAACTCCAGCTAAACAATGGTAAGAGAACATTTAAAAAGAAAACGATCTCCTCCAGTTGTCCTCGAACTAGTTACTGCTCTATTTTAAATGTCCTAGATGGCATCAACATAATCAAATATACATCATTCTTTTCTGGAATGCCAAATTGCCCCTATTAAGGCCCTAATTAATCATATAAATCTTTCATGTCCAATCTTTCTGTATGCTATGAACTTAAATGACCGCCAACAAGAAAACAAGAGTACCTATACTTTACTGCCTAGGCGATCATTTAAACTACTACAAAGAAGGCACAAAGATTTGAGAATTTTACGAAGTTTAATCCGAGTACAAAACAAAAATGGCAAAAAGGAATAAGAATAGATAAAAATGTACCTGAGTTGAGCTGAGCGGAGTTTGTTGTGACAATTGCTGTCTCATTTGACCCTGGTTTATCCGTTGCTGGCCATATGCAAGGGACCCATTTGCTCTGACTTGTGAGCTCATATTAAGAGACGACCCAATCATCCCCATTGCTTGCATACCTTGTAAAGGCTGTCCAGGAGAATTACTCAGATGGAACTGGGATGACCCTTGGACTAAGCCCGTTTTCTGCCTTGGCTGCACTCAAAGTTCCATATTCTTAGAAAAGAAATACACACAATGTTCACTATGAAAAACAACATACAAATTAAGAGAAAGCTAAAAACTTGACAACTCTAACAATTGAACTGGCAATTATCATTCAATCCAATAACAAAGTATAATGTACATTATGTACTATCAACAAAGCAAATCATACCGAAGCCAACAACTGTGACTGCAAGTTGAACTGAGAACCGGACAACATAGGCAGTTGCCCCGTCTGCCCAATCAATGCAGACCTTGCCAAATTGCCAGTACCCATCTGACCCAATTGTTGTTGCTGAGCTTGTTGTTGCTGAGCTTGTTGTTGCTGTTGCTGTTGCTGTTGAGCAAGGCCACCGCCACCGAAATTCATCTGTCCATAAACCCCAACTTGCTGCCGCATTGCACCCGCCCCCGAGGTGACACCGTATTGCTGCTGCATCTGCTGCTGTTGCTGCTGCATCTGGTTCAACCTAGAAATCGAGGGCGATCTCTGTAAGCTCTGCTGAATTTGATAACTCGAGCTTGATATCAAATTGTTCTGTTGTTGCAATTGCTGCTGCTGTAATTGTTGTTGAATAAGTTGTTGCTGCTGCTGCTGCTGTTGTTGGGGTTTTTGTTGGTAATCCAATCCAACGGTTGGCGTTGCGATTTGGTGCTGGTGCTGTTGTTGTTGTTGTTGTTGTTGTGATGGGGTTTGGGGCATTTGAGGTATAGGTGGGGATGAGATTTGTTGTGGGATTTCAATTGATGGGGAGTGAGATAGGTTTGAAGGAGAGGGCATGGCTGGGTTCGAAGGGTTTTGAGGGATCGATTCGATCGTGTTGGCTGATTGGATTGGTTTTGGGGACGATGACGAATTCTCCCCCATTTTCTTTCCTCTGATTGGCAACTTAGAAAATCGAGAGGGTTTGTTAATCTTGCTAATTCATGGAATTGGAGACTTTCTCAGAAATTCAGAGGGTTTCCTACTGAGGACTAGAGAGAAAGAGAGAGGGGAAAGACTTCTGTGCGGTCGAAACCCTTACAGATATTACATTGAGGAAGAATCAACTGTCAACTACCAATCAAACTTCAGCTCTTTGGATATTTTTATACTCGTAACAATTAATTACCTAGTCTGTCCTAATAAATTTAGATGATTAGATTAGTATATGATACTGCTTTGCTTTGCCTTGCCTTGTTAGAAAATTCATTTAAACAAGAAAAAAAAGAAGTAAGAAGGATTTAGATATTATTTTTTTTTTGATAACCAAAAAATAAAATAAAAACTGTTTTTTAAAGACTAAATCAAACCATTCTTTAATTTTTGAAATGAACCAGTTTTTGATCCAATCTAAATTCGATATGGTTACTTTTAAATTTATTGATATTAGTGTTACTTGAATTCTTCAATCTTTTTGAATTTTACATAATTATTCAAAGTCTTTACAAAGTACGGTTGTACAATACTGTCTTTAAATCATAACAAGTAATGTATGTATATATATATATATATATATATAAACAGAGTATTAATATATTGTAGGATGGATTATAATCACAATTACTATTTGATTTTTAAAAATTAAGATTAAAAAGGTTGATTGGACTTTGAAGGGACAAACAATAATTTATTTTTGCAAACTATCTTGTACAAAAATTATTATTAATAAATTATACAAAATCATCATTAATAATAATAAATTAATATAAATAATAGAGATTTCAATTTTTTTTATTTTTTATTTTTGGTGGGCTCATGATAAAAACATATACTTTATTTATGGTGGGAAAATAAATAATCTGTGGTGAAAATCACTCCACTTGAATTTCAATAATTATTATTAAATGTGATAGAAACTTCAAAGGTCCTGCTATAAAGTTATAGTGCGCCGTTTATGTCATGCAAAGAAACCACTATATTTTCTCAAGTCTCCCTTTCTCTCTCTCTCTCTCTCAAAAGTGTTTTAGATAATCGATGAAGCATATGACCTATTCTTAAGGTTGAATGGGGATCAAAAATAAACTTTTAAGTGAAAATGCACTATCCTATCAATATTTTATTAATTATTTTTTTAGGGTACATTATTACCCAATATAAATAAATAAATAAACATTATTTGAATCATTAGAAATCAAGTGCATGATTTTTTTTTTTTTTTTTTTTTTTTTTGTGTGAAGATAATCTCATTTTGAATAGTGCTTTGTGTTTTCTTCCAAGGGGAAGTGGAATGATGTTTCATTACATGGATATAAAAAGAGTGAGTTTAGCTTGTGATTGGCAGGCTTAAAGATTTTGCATGTTTGTATCAGATTTGTAATTTTTGTAACTCAATGGTTGTTATATGTAGCACAGACACGAACAGACACGTCAAAGTTTTAAAAAATAGAATAAATTACGGTATGGATAAAAAATAGAATAAATTACGGTATGAAATGATATATCATTATTTCACTACTTTGTCATGATAGAATTCATATTTTTTTCAAGATTACTGAATAGACTTGTACTAGAAATGTCCAGAAAGTGTCGGTAAAGTGTCCGAAATAATAAGTTTAATTTTTATTTATGAACACTTATATGAAATGTTGAACATGTATCCAAGGAGTACTCGAACAGTAACGGTATCCGACACGAATAGGGCTCCATAGTGGAAGTGTTTGTACTTCCTAGCTTCAAAGTCAAGGCTTGGGTAGAGGGTGGGGGTTTAAATTTTTGACTCTTTGTTACCGCTGAATATATAAAAAATAAAAAAAATAATAAATAATAATGGAAAGAAAGGAATAAGACAGAAAGAATAGAGGAAAGAAGAAAAAATAATGCTAAAAACATTTTGATCATATATATTATAAAAATTAAATAATACATTTATAGCATATTATATATCATATCATGTCGGATTAGATTATTAGTGTATGAATTGTCAGATTAAAATACGATGTATAGACATGTGAAGATACACAAGGGAGATTAAAGGGAAGATAGTCAAAAATCAAAATACAAGGGAGATTATGACCAAATGAAACAGCTGCTCAGGATTTCCTTTACATTTTCCTTTTCAAATTCCAATTTGGAGTTTTAATATAGATTTATAATAATCATATTTAAAGATTTGAATCAATGGTCCATTAATCTCCAAGCATCACAGTGGAGAGAATTTCTTCTGCTTGACATGGAAGTTCAAAACCCTGAAGCAACTTTTACATTGAAGTTCAACATACAACTGTTGATTTTTCATGATACAGAAAAACAGGGTAGAACCTAAGGAAATTAATATATAAATATATATATGTAGGATAGGAATATAATTATACATATTTCTATGTTTAACAAGTGATGTCAGTTAAACCCTTCTTCATCACTTCAACCACCACTAACCTACTACAAACCATTGGGGCTCTACCAAAACGAACATTCACCCTGCTCTGAAGGAGGTCCCTGTAACAAAAGGAGAGGACATGAAGAAAAAAACCTCTACAGTAAGGTAGTGCTTGTGGGATTAGCAAAGAAGTGCTTTCGGCAAATCATCTTCGATTTTTTGAAGCTGCTCCCAAGAAGACTCTGGAGTATGGCGGGGGGCTCCTTGGATGTAGCCTGATGCATCTTCCGCACAATGATATGGTTATCCAGAACCATCAACTCCATCAGTTTTCTGCAGCTCTGAGAATAATTAAATCAATGCATCACTATTTTGTTCACATGAGAAAAGGCAAAATAAATAAATATAAATGTCAAATTAATTGCAATCTGGGAGTGCGTCTGTCCGTCCACCTGGGTGAACAGATTGTGTGAGGATGAAAGTAAGTATTATTCCTTTGAAACTGGGAAATTAAATAGCAAACCTGAGGATTTATTACATCCATTTGCCAGATGATATCATCCTGCAACCATAATTAAAAATTATATCAATGTCTGCTGAAATCAATGTCAAAAGCTTTGTAAATATTAACCAAGACCTAGTTATCTTCCAAACATAATGACAAAGTAATGTAACTCCAAGAGACATCTACAAACTTTCCAAAGAAGAAAGGTGAAAGGATGGGGTAAACTGAATGTCATGGTCCAATTTCACCGGATAACAATTTTAGTGATTTGAGTTGATAAGATCTTATTCTAAGACAAAAATAAATAAAAACTTCAAAAATAAAAATAAAAAAGGATACTACCACTGTAGCACATAACACACCAAACAGAACCACACACAGATTGTGGAATGCAAAACCAACCACCAGCTTAATAAAAGCAAACACTAAAGGGAAGTCACCTGATCCCATAATCCTAACCATCCACTAAATGATGGTCTGCCAAATAATTATTGACCAAGAGAACCTAGAGAAGTCATAGCTAATACAAAAGCATACACGTCACTAGCAGCCCCATCCTCGTACAATCACGTTAGGATCCCCATCATCAGGAGTCATCAATGTTGTTCTCATATTTAAACCAATTTGCAGATTTTCAAATCGCTTGCAACATATGTTGATATTAAAAGTTACTACAGTTTCCCGACTTCTACACATCTACAAGGTTAAATCAGAAGTTTCTACTTTACATTGTACTTTTTTCTCTTTGCCACATGGTGACCTGCGACTAAAGATGAAAAGAAAGGTTATGCAAATTAACCGAATGGAATTCGCACAAACCTAAAGCTCAAAACAGAAATCATGTACCTCTAATATGCCTGGATTTTGCATCACAATTCCAAGAACACGGCGTACAAGTCCCTTGTAAACAATCTTGTTAATGGTACCGTCTCCATTTATCCAAGGCAATATTGGCCTACATAACTTAGAATCAACAGATTTGAATTCAAAGGTTTCATCCTCATGATCCCCTCCCAATGAATTAAGTTGGGCCAGCATACAGCCTTTGAGCTCGCTGGTACTTTGGATTTCACTTGAGGGCTGAGAAGCCTCTTCAGGAAGATTTAGAATGGTGACTTTGTGCACCTCATCGGTATTCATGCTTGTTTCCTTCCGTAAATTATTGCCATCAACTTCATGCTTCTCTGGCTCAAGGTTCAGGTCCCCATCATTAATTATTTCTTTGGAATTTGTTGGTGGAGATACCTTAAGATCTTGACAAGGACTGGCCATTGAGGTCAAAAAATACTTGGACCGATATAAAGAATCAACAACATGGACAGAATCATAAGCATTGACCTGTGATAAAAGCAATAAATTAGAATCGAACTCCAATATCTGGTCACAAACGATCTCATATAATGTGGTCGAAGGATTAGAATATTAGGTCTAGACTTCTTGACAGTAAAATTGAGTTAGCTTAGCTACACAAGCCATGAAACAAGTGAGAACATTAAATAAGTTTAAAAACAAAACTCCCTCAACAATTTCAAACCTCTTCTCCTCTCATGCTTATAAAGTCAAATCACACATCCTGCTTCACTCATAAAAAAAATATAACACAGCCTGCTTCATCCATACAAAAATATCACAGATTGCTTCATCCATAAAAGAATGACATAGCCTGCTTCAGCACAAAAGAACACTGACCCCAAAAATTCTTTCCACAAAGATCACTGAAATCCGGTTAATCAGGGGTCTGAGAAATTTGTATATGCAAAACTTGGCTGCTATGCAGATGTGGCTAAATAAGACTCGGTAAACTCACTTGTTTCTAATCAGGATGATGTATTACAAAGAACACGTACAGTAAGCATGGGAGATGCCCTAGGAAGGTAATTTCCTCCCACCGATGTGTGGGCCGCATGTATCAAAGTACCACAAATGCATTATTCTATCACTTATTGGTTGAGAGATTGATGAGTGAAAATTCAATTGAATTGCTAAATAATCAGTAAAACTAACCTTTAAAGCTCGCCCAAATGCTTCAAGCACTTCAACAATAAGTTTTGGTTTCTTTTCTCCTGAATAGAAACACCTAAATTCTATAAATATTGGAACGCATACATTAATAAATCTTTGCAGTAAGTCGACGAAGACACACCAAAAGCACACACGTAGAGGAAATACATCACATACCCTGCGTGTGCATGACCTGGGAAACTTCTTCCATGCTCAAACCTTGGTCACCAGCCTTCTGAATGGCTGAGTAAACAGTCCTAAAGAGCTCAGGACAGAAAGCACTTGCATGTTCTAGATTACCAGGTGAAGACGTCAGATGTTCAGCATAGTTTGTCATAGCTTCCCATGGTGAATCACCCGCAGCGAGTACTGTAGGAGTGGTTTCCCCAACATTAAGGATTCCTTTCATATGATCGGAATTAAAAGGAATGCTGCTAATTTTAAGACTCGAATTAGTATTGGCTTGATCATTTTCACCAAAAAGAAGTGTGTGGGTGTGGAAATCCCCATCTTTGAACATTTCCATGGCATCGATTCTTGAAATAGTAGCACGACTTATGGATAATCTAATACCAGGGAAACCTTTTTCACGGCGAGAAATAATCTCACCTTCCCCAGGCAAGGAAGATTTCAATTTCTTAGCCTTATTGCTGCTGCAGAATTCATTGTCATCCAATTTGTGTTTCAAGGTTCTTGAGTCCTCGGCCTCTCCAACCCCTTCATCTGGCAAACATGGTGAAATTAAGATATCTCCTAAAGAAAGTAGAGCGCACAAATGGAAAACATCCCCACACTGCAAATCTGCAGTTAGATCAACGCCCCCTTCCATCAGATCCTTTTCTCTTTCATAAAGCCACTTAGCAAACTTAACAGCTCTTTTCCCAGTATTTGTTGGAAATGGAGATGAAGATATACTTTGCAAGAACTGTTGAGAAAGTACAAAAGGATTATTGCTAAAACCACCAACCTGCCCAAGAAGAAGAAAGTAAATACTTAGATAGAAGAACACATAAAACACAAACAATAAGAACAGAAGTGAAATACGCGCAGGTTAAAGACCAATTAGATTTTCCCATATGTAACTGAGAGGGACCCAATCTGATTGTGTGTGAGAGAGTTATGAATCAAGTTAGGTGTATTAAATATAGATCAAACAATATTAGAGAAGAAAAGGAGATATGAATCAAGTTAGATGTATCAAAATATAGATCAAATAATATTAGTTAAAGAAAAAGATGTAGTAGAAAGAAACAAAAAATTACTTTCAACACTTACTAAATGAGGAATATACTAGAGAAGAAATCGTAAGTAAATAACCTTACACAAGATGGGTAAATGAAATTAATATATTAAAGAAGTAGATGACACACATAAGAAAATGTGTTATAAAAAAACAATAGGTCCTGATAATATACCTATACAGGCTTAGAGAATTTTAGGGAGAATAGGAATCGAATGGTTAACAAAGTTGTTTAATAAAAATATTAAAAGAAGAAAGAATGCCAAGTGAATGGAGGAAAAGTACCATAATACCAATTTACAGAAACAAAGGGGATATACAAAATTCTGGAAATTATAGAGGAATTAAATTAATAAGTCATACAATGAAAAACTATAGGAAAGGAGAATCGAACAAAGAGGAAAGAAACCTCAATATCCGATAATCAATTCAAATTTATGCTAGGTAGATCTACTATGGAAACCATATACTTAATAAGACAATTAATAGAAGAGTGTAGGAGTAAACAAAAAGACTTGCACATGGATTTTATAGAAATAGAAAAGGCATATGATAGATTGCCAAGGGACATAATTTTGGGGCTCTATAAAGAAAACAAGTCCTTGTAAACATCTAAAATCTTTTTCAGGATATGTGTAGTGAAACATTCACTAAAGTTTGTACTCCATGTAGATAAACTAGTGAATTCTAAATAAAATGTAAGATTACACCAACGATCAGGGTTAAATCCATATCTATTTATGATAGTGTTAGATGACATAGAAAAGATAACCAAGAAAACATTTCATGGTGTATATTGTTTGTTGATGACATAGTTTTATTGCATAATCTTAAAGGAAGCCTTGGCGACAAAGTAAAAGGCATAGAGAAGGACTTTAGAAGCGAAAGGTCTAAAAATTAGTAAAACTAAAACAAAATATATGGAATGTAAATTTGACAAAGTAGCAGAAAATAAGGACATAAATGTTATAATTTAAGACCAAAGAGTTGCCAAAAATAACTACTTTCGTTATTTAGGTCAATATACAAAAACATGGGGAGACAGATGGTGATTACGTAGGATTGGAGTGTGGAGGCAAGCGTTGTATCTACTATCCTACGTGACAAACGAATATCAAATAAATTAAAATAAAATTTCTATAGGATGGTTATTAGGCCAACTATATTATAATAAAGAAACAAAACAACACATTCATGTAGCGGAAATGAGGATGCTACTACGGATGATAGGACTGGCCAGAAGCCTAGAATAGATAGGATTAGTAATGAACTAGGAAGCATGGACACAGATACGGGACACGTGTACGATACGATATGGACACGGCCAAATTTCAAAAAAGTAGGACATGGACTCGGCGAGGATACGGCAATAATATAATAATATAATTTTATTTTATATATATATATATATATATATATATATATAAATTATATTTTTCTATATTTCTCCTCTATCCTTAGCTCATTTAAATTAAGCCCGCTATATATCCCGTATTTTTTAAAATATATATAGGTGTCCTGGCCCAAATTTGATTAAAAAATAAAGATATATTTTTATTTCCAAAACGTATAGTCTTAGCCTTGTCACCAAAAAGTTTACTCCCTATAATCACATCTCTCTCTGTTTCTCTCTTCGTTCTTCTCCTCATCTCTCCACGTTCCTTCATTGTTTCATCTTTTATATCTCCAATTCGTCTCACTGAAAATTTCAAATCTCAACTACCCAAAATTTCAGCTCGACAAAGGCGGAATAGAAGAACACAATCTCCACAAAAGATAACAGATCTGTATTCTGTCAGTTTATATCATGAAGTATATCTTGAATTTTTCCATGCATCTTTTCCTTTGTGTATTAAATATAGATTATGAATATATACACATCTTCTTCTCTGTTCAAAAAAAGAAAAAGCGTTTACCAAACTGAGTGGCCGTGTCCTTCCCCATGTCGCCGGCGAGTCCACCCATTTTTGTTAAGAATAAAAATAGGATACGTTTTCAAGATGTCGGACATGTGTCCGAGCCTAGGACACGCGTGTCCGTGTCGGGCGTGTCAGTGTCAAACACGTGTACGTCGCATGCTGAGAGCATTTCGGTGCTTCATAGGTAAAGAACAAGAGATTGAAAAGCTAGGAATAGCACTTACAACTGTAGCACCTATTAATAATAAAGTTAGAGAAAGTGGGCTTAGGTGATACGGTCATAGGCAAAAAAGATCCAAAGATGCACCTAGGAGAGGGAGTTGATTTCCCAGAAGATAATCGTGAAGGAGGCCAACCCAGACTTACATAAGATGAAGTAGTTAAAAATATTTTTTCAAAAAAAATAATAATCAAATATTAGAGGAGACATGGTGTATAATAGGAAAGAATAGAAAAAGAGAATTCATGTGGCCAACCCCATCTATATGGCAAATCTTTTTTGCAGCTGTGATCTATATCAGTCAAACCCTACATGCGCTGGCATTTTATGGTAAAATTCCCACTGAAATATCAATTTTAATTTACTGCTTTTTATTTAACTGAGATAAATATGTATATATGGACCGTACTGTTCATCAGCGTATCAAATAATTTATAAGATGCACACTAGCTCTTGACAAAATGAAAATATATGTGTATATATATATAGAAATAATAGTAACATAAACAATTATATTCGTTGCATAATCATTTCTCAATTTAGATATGTAGACTTAAGCAGGTCCAATACTTAGATTGATACCAACATGCACACCCCCATCAACCACCCTACAGTAAACACAAGAAGTGGAGGAACAATATTTACCATAATTTTCTTCTCTCTAAGGTAATTAAAGGCAGCAAAAAGATCACGCTCCGAATAACGCCGTAATGTTTCAGCTAGCAAATTTGGCACCTCTGCAGCTGTTGCTGAGCTCAAAAAGACGAGCTTAAACAGCTCTGAAGCATTCGAAACTGCCAGTGATTCACAGGCTCGTCTGCCAAAATCAACCCCTTCATTTAAAAGCTTGGTATACTTTCGAGGAAAGTGGTGACACCTTGATCTTCGACCAGAAACTTTAACCTTTCCATCATGGTTCTGAAATTCCTCAATAGAAGTGGGTGATGAAACCAAATGAGTTCCCTGGGGATCCTGGAAGCAAAAAAGAGAAAAAAAAAAATAAGACAGAAGCTAGCTTCCACAAGCATTCAAAGGTACAAAAAACCGAATTGACCTGAATGATGCACCAGTAGACACCTATACAAACTAAGGGTGGATACTACAATGCTACAAAATATAAAATGATAAAAAAAAATATATATATATATATATATATGAGCAGGACATCTGCAGATGCACATATAACCATTCTGATAAGCTCTGAGATTTAAAAAGAGATTCCTGACCTTAGAACGTGTCATTAATGACACACACACACAGTATCTTTCTGATAAAATGTCAGAGAATCTGCCAAGTCATCCTAAAACTAAATAAAACTGAATAAAAACTAATCAGATCAGTTTAGTGAACTGTGTTCTCTGAGCATTAACTTACTAAAAGGGACACTCAAGCTCACCTGAGTCGTGACCCAGATAAATAGCAGGATTAACAGTAAGGCACATAAATGTTATCTAAAACCACACCTCAATTGTACAAGGAATGTGGAACTTACATGTCTTTCAGCATCCATAGGTAGATCTGACCATTCCTTGGATACAGATCTGACTCCTTTAGAGACCTCCAGTTTAGCAATTTGTTTGTATCGGAGAACCTCATCAAGGGCTGTTTTTATATTTATGCTGTTAAAATCATCCCACCGTTCCTCGAAATCCAACACCTCAGTATGTTCAGCACAATTAGAGAAATTCCTGCTACAATCTTGCCCAAAGGAAGAATCCCAAACCATAACTCCACGATCGCCACTGTTAATATTTTCGTTCTGGGATTTAACCAGGTACTTGGCATATCGGTCGCTAAGCATGTTACAAAGTCTCATTATAGATTTTCTAAACTTTAAATTACGGTTTAATAATGACATTCTTCTTTTACAGTAATTTGGCGGAGCAGGAAGATTTGGAAGTGAAGGCCAATCTGTGCGATGAAATTTCGGCCCAAGAGCAGCACGGTGTCTTACATATTCGATCACCAATTTCCTGATAGATAAATTTATTAGTGAAACACAAAATAACTCCAGATTGAAAGAAGAATTTGAAGTGTCAAGTAGACCACATTGACATTACCGACTGCATAGGCAATCGTGCATAAAATGGAGGGAATTCTCAGGCTCCCTCCATCAGGTAACAGGTTATTAAAAAAAATTGTATCCTTAAAGTCACTCCCCACCCCCAAAAAAAATTAATAATAATAATAAAACAAAAATAAAAATCCCTGATGTAATGCCTTCATTGGCATGGAACTATCAAGACAATAATTTGTAGTTGGAAAGTATCCAATTATTATTTCAGTATGTAAAATGATTGCTTTGGCAGATTGTCGGTGTAGCCTACTGATAAAATTCAATTTGTCCCTTTTGTTTACCTCTCTGTTTCTTCTGTCCATGGGAACCTTTTTTGACGTGTTGGCTTCAGCCTTGAAAGGGCACATTCATGAAGAAAAGAATGATTCTCCTCGCCTTCATCATTTAATGCTGCCTCTTCCATAGCTTCTGTAAAACTATCATTGCGATACGTTTGTAAATGATTGTCATGCTCTTCTAAAGAAGTTAAAGAGAGATTTTGTTCTGTGAACTGGCCATCAGTATTTGATAATTTGGTAAGCCTCTGCTCGCCTGAATGTGCATCCACACTGTCAGCCTTTACGCGCTTTGATGACCTTTCTTCTGAAGATCTTTTTCTTTTCCGTGAAGATGAAGCATGTCTACTTTTTTGTGGATGACAATCCTCCCCTTCGGCATTTAAAACTCCCTGAAATCTAGTAAGACGCTTCTGTCGCTTGTCATAATAGACACGAAGTACCTGCAAGTGGCATTTTAAATGTCTCAAGAAGACTCAAACAGCCAAATTAAGTGTCATTTCAAGCCCAATATATTCCTTAACAAATTGAGAGATTATTCCAAGACAACTAGAAGAGCAAAGGTGGCCACAAATAGGGGTGGCAATTCGATCCGCCCTGCCCCGCCCCTAATGGGGTGGGGATGGGTCTTTAAATGGATTAGGGGTGTGCTTGGTATTTAAAAGTAAAACCCGACTCGGGTTCGGGGCGGGGACGGATTTGTGCTGATTCTGCCCCACCCTGATTACATATTAAGTTATATTCGTACACGCCTTGTACACTTATAACACAATTTCTTATTCTCACTTCTTTTAGGGTTTTTTCTGGGCTTACAATTTCTTAGCCGCCACCACACTCCAAAAATCTTTCACAGTGAATCTTGCAACACCGTACTGCCATACTCCACACACAATGAATCTGACAAGTTCTCCCATCATCCGCCTTGGAAGGATCAATCTCTCACATGCATCTCCATGGTGGTGCCGGTGGCAGTGGAGTCGTCTTAGTCATGTTGTTTACCATGGTCCATGCCATGTTGAGTTGTCTCTCAAGTTGATCATCCAAGCTCTTCAGATCAATCAGATCAGCCCTCACAAATCCATCACTGCTTTCCTTCCTCTCTCTTTAAAAATTGAATTAATACTCTGGTGACGAAAGTGAATGGTGTGGTTTGTGAAATATTTGTGGGGGTTAATTGGCATTGTGTTCGTGTGTGTTTGTTCATCTTCTTTTTCTGCAACAAGTGGTAGAATCTATGTGGGAGTTTCTGTCTGTGTGTATAAACGGACTGTTACGGGGCGGGGATGGGATTGCCAGGAAAAACCAGTCCCGGGTTCGGGGCGGGGATGGTATGTAGTTTTTGTTAACGGGGCGGGGTAGAGCTTAATCAAACCCACCCCGTTGCCATCCCTAGCCACAAAGGAGGTAAATGTGAACAATTAAAATCAACCAAGTATTGTACTAAGAAGTTGCTATTGATTAAAAAACAATGTACTGAGCAGGGTGCCAATCAAAGCTTGACCGTGCTAAACACTGTTGATAATAACATCAATTCAGTTCAAGCCAAAAGGCCTTATCTTAAACTATTTAAGGATAATAGATGATAGACAGAAATTAGGAAAGAAAAAGAGAACTTAAGAAAAAAGTCTACAACTTACAAGTGAACCAGTCAACAACTTTAGAGTATTGACTGAAGATGGAAAGGGGAAGTAAGCATATCCTTAGTTAATGTACGGTGCATGTGAGCACAGATAAAATAAAATATCAGTGAAAAAATAGAGTCCCTCAATTCCCAAAAGATTATCAGTGCTAAGCTGGCACATATTTCATAAAATTCCTTTTAGCAATTGTATTTCACAATTGTAGTCAACATTGCATTCTCGGAAAATGGAATTAAAAATTGAAGCCGGTGTTGTTGCATTTTCGTCATTTAATGTGTTGATTGTGTCATGGTAAGCGGCCCTCCATGTACCTAGGCATGGAAAGGACTATGGAGAGCATTCGAACAACTTCACATTCCAAAAAAATTTACAATGCAAGGAGACATTGTTTCTATGTGGGCAATGGAAAAAATTAAAGTAACAATCAAGTACATGCCTAAATCATAAAACATTCTAGTTTCAAAATAGAAAGTCAAAGTAAAAAAAAAAAAAATTGGCATAGTGAACCATGCATCCAGCCACCAAATGGGTCTACAAGACAGTCTCAATATTGTTCAGAGTCAAAATCAAATTACACCTGATTAAGACTTAATGTTATTGGACTCCCTTGAATGATTTTCATGCAAAATAACATTTTTCCAGACTCATCAATTTCATCTAAGAATGAGACTTATCATCCATATTGAAGTCCAACGGGGTTACTAATCTTGATCAACTTGCAAATTGGGGCATGTGGTATGCTACATCAATATGATAAATAAAGTAGCCAAACCAAATGACCATATTTCAGTCCAAGTGCTCACAGAAAACAAAACATGTTAGATGTTAGAAACCGTCCAATGAAGCAACATAATCAGGTATGATAAACTCCCAAAGACATCATCCAGTGCCCTGGTGGATCATTAGAAAATATTCAATAGCAAGTGATCTCATAATCTATTGAATGACTCGTAATTTTTCCCAACAAGAAATGGGAATATGTTCAGAAAGGTGAAATATAATCTAACCTGCTCTAATGTCAAATTAAGATCCTTTGCAATCTTCTCACACTCTTTGAATGAAAGCTTTTTGGTCGGGTCATCATTCACTATACGCTTGAGGAGCTTGGCACGCTGATCTGCTGTCATAACCCGGGCTGAGGCCCATGATTTGAAAAGAAATACCTGAATAACAATCTTAATGATCATTCAAACATAAAGCAGAAGAAAGGAAAATGCAATAAAATTGAGAGAACATGAATGAGGAAAAAAGTTACATGAGCAGAAATCATCACCAAAAGGAAAATGGAAAAAGAGGTGCAATTCTGTATCATCTTCATATTATGGAACTCATAGATCTAATTTTTTCATGTAGGAACTTTAATTTAAGAAGAGGAGCCAAAGATCAACAATAACTCTACACAAGAAAAATAGCACAAATATGTATCAACATTAGAATGTGATGAGCTATGGCTTGCCATTAATGACATACCCAGTATGAAGCATAGCATACATTTAAAGAAGTCAAATCTATTTCTTCTTGTTTACTAATGCACTAGAAATGAAAGATAACAAACACAACCACAGTAACGATTGATATGAAATCAGACATACAATTCACAGGAGCTTACTTACAGAGGCAGCCTTCTTGCATCTTTCTCTTGATATTAATCCTACAATATGGTGAAAGACACAGAACTAGGAGTAGTAACAGCAATAGCAATAGAAATAGCAGTGGCAGTGGTGGTGGTGGTGGTAGTAGTAATAGCAGTAGCAATGACAGTGCCAGGGGCAGCACTAGTAGCACCAGTAGCAGTATGGAAAGAAGTAGATAGAACACCTCTGCTTCTTTGGAAATAAGAAGCTGGATCCCATGCCATACCAAACATATTGCACATATTCATTACCCTGAAGATTTTGTCCTCTGTTAAATGGGTCCTTCTTTAAAACCAAGCAATCCAGAGGGTCACAAACAAGATGATTCTCATCATAGTGAAGACCTTTTACTTCTTGGTTGTTTCTAATCATTAGAAATTGTAAAGGGCAAGGAACATACTGAGAAATCTAAGAGACACATGAACAATATCTTGCAACCATGCATGAACATAAATTATAGCTAAAGCAATAGCATGTACACAACAGTTCTCAGCAACATAATATTCAAAGAAATAATTATATACAGAAAATAACATTGACCACACCTCATGAACGGCAGATCCAGGGAATGCATGTAAAGCAGATTTTGAATCAGCAGCAGCATAACAATACTCTAAAGTGTTCCAGTATTCATCAACAGCATTTCTGCTTGAAAGAATAAAATCATGTCTGACTTGTGGGCGAAGATCAAGAGAAAAGACATCTGAAGATGGTGCATATATTAAGACAGGTTCCTCAATATAAGGCTTAAGTTCCAATGCATGTGTAAGAGTGGCATGTGGGGCCTTGGATACATCTTCCGAATGTCCATCACTTACCAGCCGAATCAACTGTTATAGAATCCGCAACAAGTCAGGCATTGCAGTGTTGACATATGACATGAGCACAGAAGCTAAATATACAGGAAAGCATTCTACAGGGAGTAACAATCCTAGTTTTCAAATAAAAAACTCACATTTAAAGAAGAAAATAAATTTTAAAAAAAAATTCTTATCTACATAACACCAATCTACTTATGAGAGAGTGAGAGAGAGACACACACACACACAGGGACACCAATCTACTTATGAGTGACTGAGAGAGAGGGAGACACCCGCCGACAGAAGACGAGTGACTGAAAATTTAAAATACCAAACACAAAACCAATAAAGTTAATAACATGGTGTTAAAATTTCCAATCATCCTGCACCATATTCTAACTGATAAATCTGGATTAAATTTTGCAGAAATCATCCAAATACTCAACCTAATGAAGCTTCCAAGGCCAGAAATGCACCATTCTTTTTATTTAGTTATTTATTTCTTCTTTTTATTTAACATACAGATATTAGTGTGCTGACCACATTATTGGCAAAGCTTAGGATCTCATTGTTCAAGTACACAGCTCACTTGGGTAAAGCATGTAGCAGGAAAACAGTCTGATAAAGACAAAGTAAACATGCTGAAAGCATTGATTATGCATTAAATTTATCAAGACGTGATCAATCACCATACCTTCAAACGACGTAAAATGTCAATAATCCATGAGAGGCGACAAGTTGCTTGAGCATCCATTAGACACTTGTACTCTTGCTCAGGAAGGTCAGAAAGACGCAAACCGATCCTACATTTCTCAATCATATCCTCATATTTTTGAGTGGACCCCACAACTTGCAAGAACAGTTCAAGAGGCATGGCCTTAATGGCTGCATCTAGTGCAAACAATTCACAAGTGCTGTGAGAATTCTTAAGGTCGTACCCGCGTTTACCAGATGTTAAAGCGTCTGTCCAACCAGGTGAACTACTGAGGTAACCCCATAGAAAGGTATGCAGCAGCTTTGTGCGAACCATTTTTGCCAGTACAAATCCATTGGCACGCATGGCTTCTGATCTCTCCGCTTGGACATCCAATTTTTCATTTTTTGGAATTCTCTGCACACCCTCCAATACAGGAATCGATTGATCCTTCTTCAATCGAGATGACCCTTGGCTACGGACTTCCATTTCAAAAGACCTCATTCTATCATGAAGTTGACTCAATACTTCCGGAGAGTCATAATGAATCGATGGGTGAAGAACCACATCCGTTGTACGCCTGCGGCCACAGTTTGTGATAACGGGTACACTAACACCAATGCATTTACAGTGTCCTTCTTGCTGAAGCTTATTCAAGGTACGATCTAGGGTCCTCCTATCCATCACTGTGTGCTTATCCTTTTCAAAACTCTCAAGCTGCCGACGTAGCTCAGCTTTTATGATAAACTGCTCTTCCTGCTCAAGCAAGGGTAAAAAAAATTAAAGTGGTCTAAAAATAAAGGAAATTGAAGCCTAGTAAGCAGAAGAAACAAGAGTATCTGGAGAAACCTGTAATATTTGAAGTATCCGCTGCTCCCTTTGAGCACTAGCTGCAGCCAAAGTAAGACATGGATACTTCTGATATGATCGAATTCTTGGGGCTGTTGCCAAAGCAAGGGGTGGTGTTTCTAATGGAGCAACATTTGATACAGTAGATGCACTCACTATAGGAAGTTCTGCATCAGAAACTATATCACTTAGTTCATAGGTTAAATTTCGGGAAGTAGCACAATGTTTTACACTCACCATCTGCCCCGGAGCCTTGAGAAAGTTCTGGTTCAATTGCTTTAGTTTCAGTCTCGCCAGTGTTTTTAACATCATCTTTGGAAGTTGAAAGTTCTAATTCTGGGTCTGGAACGATTTGAGATGATTTCTCATGAAAATCTAGGTAACCAACACATGGATTACAAGCACCATTTTCATCAGATGGATTTTCTGATTTACTCGGAAAAACAGATGCTTCAGAATTGAAGTTCCCAGATGTCCAAACACGATAGGCGACACCCCGATTGTGGCTTTCTGCCTGCAGATGCATGCCACATCTAGAGAACATGTTAAGAAGCCGATTATAGTACCGTTTGTTGCTTATTCCGAGTTTCTTGCATACCTGTGTATAATGTTACAAACATGCATAGAAATTAATAGTTGAAATTGCAATATGTATGCATCCTCAACAAGTGATAATGATGTGGTGAGATATATTAATTATTTAGTCATAAAGTAATTAAAGTTTTAAGAACCCTAAGAATGATTTTTTAGACAATAATAGTCAATATATATTCATAAAATCAATATTTAGATGAACGTTCTAAGAGGGTATCTTCAACCGCTATTTATTTTTTTCCCACACGTAAATTTGTAATGGATGTTTGAATAAAATTAATATTCATATAACATTGAAACATGAAAAGCTTTACTTGTCTTATAACAGAAACTTGAAGTATTATTACATCAAGAAAAATTTTATTGAATGTGAAACACTTTGTCGAAACAATAGGTTGGTCAAGATGGGAGCACTTAGCATATTTCTACATTAAGGTATAAGACATTACATTAGGATATTGATATATGTTCAAAAATGTATTGCTGCTTTAGCTTGATGATGAGGAACAGATTGCAAGTCCAAGTTCAAAATTCAAGTTATTTTAAGTCAGTTAAAGCTAATATGTATTATTCAACCCCAAGGGGTTGGCTCAAGTGGGTAAGAACTTGGCCCGGGGGGGGGGGGGGGGGGGGGGGGAGGGGGGTAGGAAAACAATAAATATGTATTGTACAATTACATGGAACAACGGATGCAAAGAGAATGAAAACGATTATTCAGCATGGTAAACTAAAACTTGAGGATAAGTTTTTCCATCACTGTGTACTTATCAAAAAAAAAAGTTTTTCCATCACTGTGATTTTGATGCAAGAGCAACATCAAAATATCAATTCTAAAAGAACTGTTAATCTTTTTTTTTTTTTTTTTTTTTTTTTTTGATAAGTAAGAATTTTATAAAAAACGCTCAAAGGGGAGCGAAACCCATGGAAACAAGATGAAAAGGCCACAAAAAGCCTCAAGCCTTCAAAGAGGCCAAAAAAATAACAATCTCCTCAACAGAACGATAATCTCTCCCTGAGACCCAACAAAAGAGAGTAGAAATAATAGAGAACTTAAGCATAGAAATGGGTTTCTCCTTGCCATCGAAGTTTCTCTCGTTCTTCATTACCACAACAAAACCCTTCATCAACTATGTTATTAAGACTCGGTAGATTTGATGGGCCCGAGTTTGTTTTAAGTGTCAAATTTATCAAATTCTCAAACCCAAGGACATGGGAGGATATTCCTATTCTTTAACATTCTTCTTTTAATTTCTAGAATAAAATAATGTTTTTATATTACGTAGTCTCTAACACAAGCACTTCACTAGTGGCAAAGGAATAATGTAGCAACTCAATTCAACTAAACTTTTTCCCAACTATTTGGGAGTGGTTACATCACTCAATTTGGTCATTCGCTCTTCTGCAGCCTTTGCTCAGTCAAACCACATGCTACCATTTGTTTCTTTACTATCACAACCCACATTAGTTCTGGTCTTTTTGTTTCCTTTTTATTTATTTATTATTATTATTTTTATTTATTTTTGATAAGTAAGGTTGTATTAAAAAGGCGTTCAAAAGGGGAACAAGATCTTTTCGTTTCTAAGCATTACCCTAATGTGAACCATGTTATTTTTCTTGACTAGTGCATTTATTGGTATTCACTAGCCAAACCATCTAACTTGTTTTCTCTTATTCAATCTCCAACTGGTGTTACTTCAACCGTCTCAGGATTGTATTCATTTCTAATTTTATTTTTTGGGTAAAGTACAACCACACCCCCTGAGGTTTGACAAAAGGACACTCAGATGAAACTTACCTATTTTTTGGACAAAGACACCCCCTAAAGGTTCGAAAATGGACAAAGACACCCCTTAACATGAGAAATTGACCAAATTACCCTTTGACCGTTTAGGAGACTTTTTTAACTTTACAATTTAATAAATTGGACCAATCTACCCTCATGAACAATTTATGCATAAAAAAAAAGTAACAAAAAAACTTTATATTGTTCATTTTTTTTTTTTTTTTTTTTTTTTTTATAAATGTTCCAACTTCTTAAAAATGTAGACGTCTAAAATGATATTTTGATCCAATACATATATTTCAAATGAATTATATTTTGGTATTACTTCTTTTCTTTTTCTTTTTTATTTTTAAATTAAGATGCTTAATTCTTTCATCTAAAAAAATTAAATAAAAAATATGGCACCAGTATAACTTTATGCATCTTAAATTATATATCAAATATTACGCATTTCCCAACAATAAAAGGAGGAAAAAAATAATAATAAAACAAAGGGAAAATAATAATAATAAAACAAAGGGGAAAAAAAAAAAAAAAAAACAAAGGCATGTATAAAGTTAAGATGCATAAATTTTCCAGGTACCTATTTTCTTTTATATTGGGAAATGCATAATATTTGATATATAATTTAGGATGCATAAAGTTATATTGGTACCATATTTTTTATTTTTAAGGAAAAGAGATTGGTTTAATTTTTTTAGATGAAAGAATTAAGCATCTTAATTTAAAAATAAAAAAGAAAAAGAAAAGAAGTAATAACAAAATATAATTTACTTGAAATATATGTATTGAATCAAAAAATCATTTTAGACGTCTACATTTTTAAGAAGTTGGGACATTTATAAAGTAAATAACCAAAAAAAAAAAGTGAACAATATAAAAAAAAAAATTTACTTTTTTTTATGCATAAATTATTCATGAGGGTAGATTGGTCCAATTTATTAAAATGTAAAGTTAAAAAAGTCTCCTAAACGGTCAAAGGGTAATTTGGTCAAATTTTCATATAAAGGGATGTCTTTGTCTATTTTTGAACCTTCAAGGGGTGTCTTTGTCCAAAAGACAGGTAAGTTTCCTCTGAGTGTCCTTTTGTTAAACCTCAGGGGGTGTGGCTGTACTTTACCCTTATTTTTTTTATTTGTTTTGTAGTCACTCAACATTCTTTCACAGAAAGTATGACTAGTCTAACACTATTTTTTATAAAATATAATGTTCCAACTTTAAAGGTATACATCACTTGAAGCATTCCTCCATTTAACCCATCATTCTTCAATTATATACAATCAAAACCATCAACTTATCAAAAAAAAAAAAAACCATCTATAGTTTCTCCCTCATGAAAAATCAAGCCTAGATAACAAAAGGTTATCTCATGACTCTTAATCCTTCACTATATTCCACATGTATTTTTAAACTTTACTAAAGTAATATGTTATACACTCAGTTTTAGTCGTGTTTAAACTCTCTTATTATATAGCTCCATCCTAGACCTCTGATTTAGTACTTATCCTTCTTCTAGTTCCATCAATTAAAACAACATCATCAGCAAATAAAATACACCATTGGAATCTTATTCATGATGTGTTTTGTTAGTTCATCCTTAAGGAATAACCCATATGACTTGATATAAATAATAATGATTATAAAGGTTAAATTCATAATAAAAAGGAAGACACTGTAATTTGATAAATTTGTATTTCTAATTTCATGACTATCTCCGACTATTAACTTGCAGATTTACACATCACCTCGCCACCACCTATTAACATGCAGATTCACAGTGGATTGACAGCACTACGCTCATTATATAAATCCATGGACAAAGAAATAGGAAAGTTAGCAATACACATGATTTTAGTATGGCTGGCAGCAACCTTAAAGAAGAAGATAGAGGGGGAGGGCGCACCTACATGTGGGTCAAATGAAAGATAAAAAAATTTTAAATGAAAATGAATAACAAAAACAAATAGAAAGAGAGATTTTTAACTTTATCGCTTAAGTCCGAGTATTTAAAATACCACTTTGTTGAGTTTTTTTTCTTTTGAAAGGTGACCACTTTGTTGAGTTGATTTGTAAACAAGCTAAAAGTCCACCAAAATTAGTTGCTTTCTTTTTGAGAGTGAGAGGAGAAGCAAATATTAGCTTAAAAATTGGACAACCAAAAGACGATTAAGATTCTTGAAGAAATATATAGAGATGTATAAACAAAACTACACTGCTAATCTTAGGACTGGATCAATATACATAAATAAAAGCTAAGAGATACTTATCAAAAAAAAAAAAAAAGCCAAGAGACAAATGCACACACCTCGAAAATTGTCAACCCTTTGGGTCCCTCAGCATCAATCATATCATAAACTTGATGCTCAATAGGAAGCTCTACAAGTTGGTCAGTGAATTGACCTCTCTTTCCCGATTTCTCCAATTGTTCTGTCTCAAGATCATCATATCTACGTCCAAGAGATTTTGGCTCGAAAGTTTTTGGAGAAAACTTCTTTAGCAAACGTAAGCAACTGACCTCCTATGGGAAGTACAAAGATATCAAGCAATGAACTAAAAGATGAAGATTTCTTTTTCTATAAAAGCCAGAAATTCATTCTGTAGGAACTAGGAAATAATATGATGTGTGTATGTGCGCGCGTGCAAGCGCATGCGTAACATCAAATCAAATGCCTGCTGCATAAACTAGGTTCTAGGTTAACAATACCATTCGAACACAACTTTAAGAGTTGTAATTATTATATAAAAAAAAAAATGTTCAAAGTCCTTAGATGCAATTTTGGCCTTTTTCCTAAAACCAAATAACTTATAAACAATTATAACAGCACAAGAGATATCAAAACGTATTCCCCCCCCCCCCCCCCCCCCACACACACACACACACACACACAAACCATTTACGCGACGTCCTACATCGCCTTGGGGGGAGAAGTTGTTGAGACTTGTATGACTGTGTACGTATCCGCAAATTGGGAAAGCAATGCCTCAAGTGACTTGTCTGAAGCATAAAAAAATATAATAATCTACCGACAATTCAAGATACATATCATGAGACTCAAAATCTAACACATAGTATAACAAGACAGCTGAACCGAATTTGACAAAAACCGCTTCATGCTTTTCCGTTTCCTCTCTGGCTTGACTAATCTGCTTGTTTTAACACAAGTGTGCCAAGCTTTTCTTAAATACCAAAGAAACAAAATAATGATTAGTTGAAATGATAGGGTAAACAAGTTCAGGATGATTCATCTTGAACTATCAATGAGTTAGGCAAAAATCAATAATTATTCCAAAAATGACCCTCAAATTTTTTTTTTTTTTTTTTTTTTTTGATAAGTAAAAATGACCTCAATTTCAAAACTTGCCAAAAATTCATGAAAAATAAAAAGAAGTAAATTTTAAAATATAAAGACCATAAAAATGGATAGTAGGTCTTGGCCAAGAATCTAAAAAAAACAGCCAAAAATTTAAAACAATTCACGGCTGCATTCTAATTAAATAACCAATACCACTTTTACTTATTCGGCTGAAAATAGTATATAATAAAAAAAATAAAAAAGGGAAAATGTTGAAGGATTTAAATATTAAAGTCACACCCTCTCTAATAGCTTAAGCTTTTCGAGTAGCTGGTTGTTAACATGGTATCAAAGCCAAAGGTCTCGAGTTCAAACTTTACCGTCACCCTAATAATTAAAAATTGAAACACGTGTAAGACCAAAAAGAATGCCACACGTAAGGGGGCATGTTGAAGGATTTAAATATTAAAATTACCCACTCTGTAATAGCTTAAGCTTTTGGAGTAGATGGTTGTTAACAGAAAATTACACTAGCCTTCCCTTTAGTATAGCTCCTCTATGTTATCAGAATTTACACTTTAGTTGTAAATTACTTCTTCTTTTTTTATAAGTTGTAAAATCACTATTTTACCCTCACATTTAAGTAAGTTAACTATTTTATCCTTGCAATAGAGTCTTATCTTTTTTGTTCAGTTTCCTCCTGCATCTTAGCCTTTCCAGCCACCACTATTAAACAACCAACACCACACCCAATGAACTGCCACTACCATCACCACCATATGTGTCTTGATAAGGAAGAGGACAGTGGTATCCAGAAACTTAATACTCTCACCCTATAAAAAAAAAATCTGACAATGTTCTCTTCATCTTCACTAAGGTGATTAAACAAACAATTCAAATCCCTCACAAGTTTCACTGAATCAAATCCAAAGCCCCTTCTCTCTCTAAAATTCCCAAGCAACAACGCAGAAAGAGAAAATGGATTTCAGGCTTAATGGGATTTGACACCCTAGTCTTCCACGCCCTTCAGCATATGCTATTATGCTCAATGCCAATGATGACGGTTGTCCAACATGCAGATTCACACCTACGTCCTTGATATGAAGGGAGTGGTGGTGACATCTGCTGACATGAATAAATACCTGATCCTACAATTTCGCCATCAACATGCCAGGGATGGAGTATTTTAAATAAACTAATCATTGCAATATGGTGAGCCATCATTTTTTTTCATTATTCAGATTGCATCATTTACTTTGTCATCTAACTTTACATACTTTTTTGAAGTCCTTGTTGAATAAAGTGCAAATGTTATTAAGTAAAAAATGTTGCATATCTATCTATTGCTCATGCAATAATATCAGTGATCTTGTGCCTTTCTCATTGATATAAAGAATTTTAAGAAAATCATTTGTGAAGGTTTGGCTGAAGATTTTATATATATAAGTATATACATAAGACGTCTTACTATAAGGGTCACCTGTTGGTCGCTTGCGAGTCAAACTTGCCCTCTTGCCACCTTTCACTCACTTGCTTAAGTTGACTCAATGTCAAAGGAACAAAAAGAACAAGAAGACCATAAAAGTTTACTGTGATGTTGTGGCCAGAATTTGGCGTTGGGTCGTGTCGCGGCCTGTATGACCCGACGACCTGTTGATTGAGTTTTGACCTGATTATTGCTTGCAGGTCGTGGACCCTGTTAAGTATTCTCTTGTAGCCCGATATATAAGGGCGCTTAGGGTTTGGAGTGGGATTAATTGAGAGATACTGAAAATCGCAGAAAAGAGAGTAAGAGCAAGAGCTAGGGTTTGTGGGCTGGAACTTGTAATCTCCAGGATTTCGTATAGTGAATTCTTTCGCCGGATCTTCACTGTGGATGTAGGCTTTGCCGAACCACACAAAATCTTTGTATTCTTTGTGTGCGGCGTGTTTACTTTCTCTCTTTTTTCTTGGCTGTTTCTTGGCTTCGCTGCGTTTGTCATAACATTTACTAGTCTGAAAGTTGGCAACATTGAGGCATCACTCCAAATATAAGATATACTGCTGTAAGAATAGTATCACTCCAAATTGTCCTCGGAACACCAATAGTAGAAATCAGAGAATGAAGTTAATGAACCACTTTTATAAGGGATGGTCAGTCTTCCATTCAGCCACTTCATTTGGTTGTAGAGTATCCAAATAACTGGTTTGATGGATAATCCCGTGCTGGACAAGATAGGGAAGGAATTCTCCAATATGGTACTCGGATAGGAATCTTAGCATTGAACTAAGTCATGCAATGGAATGTTAAAAAAGAATTAAGCACCTCAACAAGATAGGCAAGGAATTCTCCAATATACTCGGTTCTATAACCACTTTTGAGAATATTTAATCTAAGCACCGAGCTAAGTCCTTATCATGCTATGGAATGTTCAAGAAGAATTAAGCACCTCACTCTTATGTCATAGCAATTATACCCAAGGGACATAGGTGTACCAATCAATAAACAAAAAACCAACTATATCCAGAAACTGAAACAACACAAGATAGTTCCCAAACATAAGAATGAATGATCATAAGAGGAACAATGCTTTTATTAATATTACTGGGATACGTATTTCGTTTGTGCTTGGAAATCCAAAAGCATCACAAATAATATTAGTTAAGAAATCTATAATCATAAGAGGAGCAGTGATTTTATTAATATTACTACAATAAGTATTTTGTTTGTGCTTAACTAACTCTTGGAAATAGTTTCTCTAATGCTCCAAGTGAAGAATGTCCCAAACGTCGATGTCACTGATACAATTGTTCAAGTTCAGATATACTACCAGTCTGAAATTCTAGACTAGAAGATGGATCCTCAGAAGAATTAGGAAATGAAATTTCTAGCATCCAAAATCTATCATGTGCTTTTAATCATTCTCCTTGTCTCCAGTTCTTAAAGAACACAATGGGTAGGAAAGAACGTCACAGAACACTTAAGGAATTTGGTGATACTAGTAACATAAAGAAGTTAGCATAGACTTTTTGAATATGGAGTACAAAAGAGAGTGATCAAGATGGGAGAAATGTATAGATACTTCTCCAAATACTGATGACAAAGACACATCAGTTACCTTAATCTTATCCCTACTAGAACATGGAGAGTAAGAAGACAAAAATTCGAAGAACCTCTCATACGAGCAATGTTGGAAGTGGCACAAGAAGAGGCTAAAGCAGAAGAAGTGTCAATTCAAGCAAATTATCATCGAAGTGTAAGCTAACAAATGTATCTTTAGTAATGGTAAAAAGCATAGCTTTCCTCCTCTCCTCTTGCTGAACATAAGCACAAATCTACCTCAAAGTCGGAAAAGGATCGCTGCCAGAAACCTAAACTAGAATTTGATCATACTCTATGTTGAGAGCAGCCAAAAAAATCATATAATCGTACTTTCTCTATCATTTTGAAACTTGGCACTGTGATGGAGATCATTGGCAGAAATCTTTAAAGGTGTATAAAAGACGCCAAAAAGAGAATTTGAAGATTCAAGCTGGCATAGGCTAGATAATATGGGTCCACATGGAGTTTGAATAATTGGGAGATTTGGTCAACTTTTAGTTACTTTAATTATGCTATTAGGTAAGCATTGATTACCTTAATTATGGGGTAATCCAAGGGTCAATTGATTGTCTCAAATATTGATTACCTCAATTTTGGGGTGATTACTTTTATTATGTTAGAGTCAAGTATTGATTGCCTCAATTAGGCGTAATCGAAGCATCATAAGATGCTATAAAAGGGTTAGAATGTAATCTTGGTGAATCAGTCAATGAATGAATAAAAAATATTCTTTGAGATTTCTTTGTGAGTGATTCACAAATTTTGAGGGTGAGGCCTTCTCTAGGTGTGATACCTAGACCCTATTGGTATGATTCCAATAGGTTTTTCTTATTTTCAATCCTTTCTCTCTACTAATATCTTGAAACATAGCTCTACTTATTTGAATTTCCAGCCACTTCTCCTTTGTTTTTCTACATTTCTACTATCGAACCTCCAAATTTCAGCCCAAGTTCTTTGAACTTTCAGCCTCTGAATTCTTTGAGTTCTTAACTATTTAAGGCTGCTCTCTTGTCCTACATCACACTGTCGCTTAGACAATCTGCCCTAAAGTCATGATCATAGTATATTTCCTGCCACAAACTGTTGAGCTCCTCGAAGTACTCGACTATAGACATATCTTCCGTTTTTGTCTCAAGGAACCTC